TGGTGTCTGGCTTTTTTTTCCCCAGGAAACGCGTGCTGCACTGTTGCTAATATTAAATAACTCAATTACATGCTGAGTGGATGCTGGAAAGTAAAAAAACAAACAACAAAAAAAAAACCACCTGAGAATAAAACCTCAATCAGAATTACAAACATTCTCAAACATTCGACAGACACATAATGAGCCTTTCTGTGGGTTTCCAGCCTTCTAGCTTCATCTAACTCTATTCAGACAATTAAGTTGACAAACAGAATGAAAAATTAATATTGGCAAGATTGAGAGTTAATTAAAAATTAAATATACAGCGCTTGTACCAGATCTCATAAAAGCAGTGCTACTCAGACAAATGTCTTATTGCTAAAACATTTCTGGAGATGGTGACTGGTAAGATTAACCTGAAGAAGGATGTCAGAATAGCCTATATTTTCTTTTTTTTTTTTTTTTTTTAAGCATCCACTGTTAAACCCTGGCAGATTACTGGACTTAGAAAATAATTCTTGTGTTTGCTTTGATTGTATAAAGTGAAATCTGTGACTGTAGTGGTATTTTGTAGTAGTGCTCTGCAGTTCTCTAAGTAGGAAGATTGGTAGGTTTGGGATTTTTAGGGTGTTCTTTGTGCATGTGTTTTTTTGGGGAATGTGTTTATTGTCACTGTGGTTTTTTAATCACTGGGGAAATTGGAAAGCTTCCCCAGTAACTCAACTGTCTTCATCTGTTAACGCAGGAATTTGCACAGTCTGAGCTCTGAGCCAAGCAGTAGCCTTTTAAGCATGTCTGAGAGGAGGAGGTGCATACCTGGGTCCAGGTCTCTAATTTTCAATGGATATTTTCTAAAATCTTTGTTCACATACTCTGTGCATTAGTGACAGTCTGTACATTCATCTTATAACAAGACAGTAACAGATGCTAAATGCTGATATTCAGAAAGTGGGTTACTAATGCCACCAGTCAATTCATCTTTAACCAAGTTCTTTCTCACACAGAAGTTATTCTGCTCTGTTCTGATTTGTCTGAAGCATGTTCTGATTGTGGTCAGCAGGCGTCAGCAGTCATCTCTCAAGAGCTTCTGCTAAGTTGCTTTCTTGAGCACAGATCATTCCTTGCTGCATAGTGATCTGTGTCTCTTCTGAAGCCAAAGGACCTCTTAAACTGGCTTCTGCATCTGTGTAAAGAAGGAAAATTACACACACAGGCCTTCCCTTGTTGCAGGCATCTTTTTTCATTTTTTTTCACAGGTCACAATGGAGCACTTTTGATTTCTGATTTCAATATCATTCTTGTTCTCAACAGATGCAATGCATAACTGGGTATAGATAGCTGCCTACCAAAGCAAGAAGCTGTCAGGGCTCTGACCTACACCACATATCAGGTTTCTTCGAGCACTGCAGTCTATCTGCTTCTTCAGATTTTCTCTCTGAATGAATGAGGAAAGCAAGGACTTAATAGTTAAAATCTAGCCAGATACATGAAAATCTGGAACCTCATCTTATTTGCTCTCTATTCTGTTTGCAGATACAGTACTGTGCTAGCCCTAAGTCTGTGTAAGTTGCCCTAAGTTATGAATTTTAACTGATAGTTCTGGGTCTGTTCTCTTCACAGTCAGAATGAGGAAGTGAATTACATTAACTTTTGAATCTTTAACCTGTTGTGCAGTGATAGAGATCTTATTCTACCACTTTTTCTTTTTTTTTTTCACAGAGGAGTACAGTCCAAAATGTGCCTGAACAATTTAGGGATGAACATTTTCTTGTAAAAGCAGTTCCAATATCTATGTTGCTCGATAAGAAAGGATTAAAATTTTAGCAGGTTATTATCATCATTGGCTAAAAATCTTATGTTAGACTGTTGTAATAATTAAGTCTTCTCATTTACCAGCTCTCAAAAAGTGCATAATCAGTTGTTACGCTTTGTGATGTGGTTCTGGGAGGGATTCCTTGCTTTGTCTAGCCTTGACCCCTGCATTCACGTGAAGCAATGGAAGGGATTTTCTGCATAGTGGGACTCGCATATTGCCACTGCATCACTCTGTGATTATAAACCAAAAGCTGTGTTTCAGTGCCCAAAAGGAAATATTAACCATCTGTGTAGGGATCTGCAGGCTGATTTTGCATTATCTTTCTTGTCCACTGAAAACTGTTACTTGGTGTGTGCCATCCCATGTCAAAATTGCAGGCATGCAGAGACATAAAGAACAAATGGGCTGATAAGTTTGTCAGAATTCACGACTGAAATGACATCTCTTTATAGGACTGTTGTTTGTTGAAGTCTAATTGGATTTACTTGTGCTAAATGCCATTAGTAGTGTACCCCATACTGGTCAGTGATCTGAGAGTTGCTGGATGTATAGAGCTTGTGAAGGAAGTGTCTTCTGATGGGAGGTGAACAGCTCTGCAGTGCAGTGGGCTAGGCCCTGGCTTGGGTGAAACTCATCAAAGATAAAGGAATATGACTGAAACTCCTGTGAGAAGAGGTCTCATTGAATTCTTTTTTTTTTTTTTTTCTGATTCCAGAAAGGGACTTGTGAATCTGGTATCAAAACAGGACAGCAAGCATGTTTAATGTGGTCTGTGTTTCTCTTAAGGAATGCATGCTGTTGCTGTGGGATTGAGTGTGCTGGAGGTGTGAGTTCATCTGCTGGGCTGTGCACAGCAGCACTTAGGGAATGCATAGACTTGGACTTCTCTTGGTGCCTTTGATAGGAATAATGGAACCCAATAAAGGTGGAGCTGTGCAGTCAGAGGGTGATAATTTCCTTGAAAGCAGCATGGGTGAATGTGACAGTTCCTGACAGCTGGAGTCCATAAATTTGTGTCAGAAATATCTAGTTTATTTTCTCCTTTTGTTACAGCTGTCTGAATAAGCGTTCTTTTTGGATTTGAACTAAAAGTGTTATAAATGTCACATAGGTATTTTTAGGTAATAGAATATGTTTGCTTAACAGAGCATTCTGTAAGGTTTTTTGCTGCTTGCTTACCACGTGAGTCTTCCTTTCCAGCACATCTTACTGCCCTGTGTGCATTCAAGAGCACAGCTTGACTCCTAAGACTAGAGTTAATGGAGCAGTACAGTAACAGAATAAAATGGGATAGAACATAATATAGTCTGACAACATTTAATGCAACAATATTTTGTCTTAACTTTAAGATTTTAAACTTTTTATTTATTTATTTAGAATTTTGTGTATGTGTGTGCTTTTCATTTACTGGAAAAGCCAACAAAAGAATGTATAGCTACTTAATTCTTCATGTGTTGAGGTTTGGCTGCCATTTTAGAGGGGATGTTCTCATCTAGGCTATTTCTTTTTGCCTAGAAATTGCAGTATTAAATTTTCTATCATGTTATGAAAGAAATAAAATCTACCAATTTACAACATTCACCACTTAGCATGGATTAGTGCTTACCTGAATGACTGGCAGCATGTTGCACTAGGAGCAAAATGCTGGAGCAACCGTGAGAGAATACATTTTTACAGCTAGTGAATAGAAATTGCTGGTCCATCAACGTTTAGCATATTGTGAATTGAACATGTGTGTTTTCATCCTGTTGGGTTTCTATGCATGGAGAAATACTTTTTATGGTAGGAAGACTGGGCTTTTGGTTAGTCTCGAGTCCTTTTGAGGTTTATGACTCAGTTTAAGTATTGCTGTTGACTACATTCAGTAACTGGAATATGCTGAGAGTCTATTTCTGGTTATTGAAGTTGAGCTGGCTTGACAAAATACATCATCTTCTTGGGGATTGTTTCCTGTTTTTTGGAGTCTAACCATAGATAGAGGTCTTAAAATCATCCTCTAAGGGATGCTTATGGCTAATTACTCCTACTGTCATTGCTACCTGAAGACAGACAGGTGAACAAGAACAGGGTCAGGCAACAGAGGACTAAGTTACCTCTTGTTCTTTTCAGATGCTGAATAACTATTTGTGATGTTCCTGATAGAAAGGGAAGCTTTAAATTATTGCTGATGGTGGGACTATTAATCCAGCGTAGTCCTAAAGCTGGGAAGCAAATATTCCTGCCATTGTTCTCCTTGGAAGACAAGTTTGGGGGCTTTGCTTTGCTTTGCTTTTTTTCCTACACCCTTTCCCCTAGGACTTCAAAGTAAATAGATTTAATGAAAGGCTTTTGATTCTTAAATATTTTTAGATACAGGAATCTTTTACAGCCATAATAGTCCATCAATTCTGGCTTTTAACTGCAGTATCCTCTTAAACAAATTTTGGCTACTGAAAGAGAAGTAAGAGCAGTTAAGAGCTTATTCTAACTTCAGTGGCTATCACCAAAAAGGGTAGGAAGGAAGGAGAAAGATTACTGTAAGTACCGTGGAGATATTTTTAATACTTTCTCCTGGAGCTCTCTGGCATTTGTTACATCAGGCTCTGTTTCGAACTTGCATGTGTTTTAAATTAAATATAAATAAATGTTGGAAAGAACACGTTATCTTTAGTACTTTCTGTTCCATGGACGAAAAAATACCTAAGCTTTTTGCTGTACATAATTTGTGTAACTAAAGAGCTCTGAAAATATTAAATATGAAAAAAAAAAAGCCTGGGCTGAAAATTTTACTGTAAATGGAAACTGTGGGGAAAAAATAGCAAACTGGCTGCTTACTGTAAGAACTCCAGCACCTTGGGGAGATCTGATGCTCTGCCTAAAGAGATACAGTCTGGGACTAGCAGATGCTCCAGATTTCCTAGTCAGTAGAAAGTGTTAACTCTTCTAGACTGTGAAAAAAAATTCTTTCTTTCATTTTTGTGCTGTGATGGAAGTCTTGATTTGCCACTGTGATGTGCTGACTGCACTGAGTGCAGACTGAGACCTCTAATCTTATGACATTGGTCCAAAGAAATTTTTTTTTCTAGTGAAATTTTTTTTTTAGTAGAACAGAACTGTCAATATGTACTGGTCCTGATACTATTGTTGCTTGTTTTTAGTTTCAAGTGAGCTAGCTATTTTATCTTTAACTTTTCTATTTTGTGTGAATGATACTGGATTAGGGAAAGCTTTTATTGGAGTTGTAAAAGCCACAAAAAAAGGAACTTTGCTTATATATTAGCAAAGTTAAAGTGATGTTTCAGGCACTGACTGTCCTATTTTAGTTATTGATGTGTTATGGCCCTATTTTCGTTACATATTCATTTTCTTAGTATGAAAAGAATAAAGGGCAGTTTTCTCTGACAGATTTGACAATGCCAAGCATGTTTATATGTGAGAGTAATGAAGATGAGATTCTGGCCTCCATCCCTACAGAAAAAAAGTGCAATGGGATGATTTCCACACATGGAATGTTTTAGGTTTTTTTCTGTTTTTTTTTTTACTCTCTTGGAAACAGATTTTATGGTTTGTTGGTGTGCCTTTTGGTATTTGGAGCTCATGATTTCATTTCTGATACCCCAGCACACAAGAAAAGCTCATACTTGAGTCTATGGTGTCAATGGGGAGAACTATAGGAAGTAGTTCAGTGTGTTTGTGTGCTGTTTAAGCAGAGAAAAACTCCATGGGTTTAAATCAAGAGGCTGAAGATGATGAGGACTGAAGTCAGATACTTGCACTGATTTAGCTTTTATTTATTTCCCTCTTTCTGTATGATACAGTTTTGCTATAGTCATTGTTTATCATGGAATGAAGTTGCCACTGTGGAGTTTGGGGTTACAGTAGAGGAGACTTTGGAGGAGAGGAATTCTTACAAATTTTATAAGATATTGCTTGCATAAATGAAACAATAGTATTTTTAACTTCTTATAGCACAGTCACCTAGAGTAATAGAGATGGTAACACTATGATGTGGTCACAGCTGTCATTCCACTATACATAGCTTACTTGTTCTTCTGTTTTATCAACTTCATTCTCTGTGAGCAGCAATGTATCCAGCAGAATGGCTGATGATGCTTGGATGGGTGAGCTCCTCAGCCTCATTGGGCTCTGGTACATGATGGGATTAATCCCATTTTTCATCCCATGCATAACAAAGAGCTTGGAATTTTCTGTCACAGAATTTCTGAAAGAGATTCTGCTGGAACACTTCCGAAGGACCTTGCCGGTCTTTGTGGTCCGATAGTTGCAAGTGATATACCTGCTGAAAGCCTCCCTAAATGTTTTGTTGAAGAGTGTGTAGACAAGAGGGTTCACTCCTGAGGATACATATCCTATCCAAACAAATATCTCCATGAGCTTTTGAAAAACTTCCTTGTTGCACGAGTTGCACAGGACTGAACTTATGTTAGTTATGAAGAATGGGCACCACATCAACAAGAAAAGAAAAAATACAATTCCAAGTACTTTTGATGCCCTTTGTTCATTGGTTATGGTTTGCATGGATTTCCTCCCAATGGTAGACATTCTACAGATGGGCATATCATTGGTCAGAGTCTTATCTTTTCTAGAGCCATTCAGCATGGCCACCTTTTCTGGAGAGCAGGCAGGTGTAGCATCGCGTTGAAATACTGTGGACACTGTTGACCAAGTGAGACGTTGAGGTGGCTTGTTGATCAAGTAGGCCTTCTTGCGTAGCACTTGAATTGTCAGAAAGTAAGTGACTATCATGATAGCAAGGGGAATGAAGAATGCAGCCACTGATCCGTACAGAATGAAATCATGAAAGCGATCAGGCGTCAGAAGACATGTAATATTTGTAGAGTTTCCATTTCCATCTTCAATTCCTCTGATAGGGACTGGAATAGCAATGCCTACGGAAGAAAAACCAAGTATTTAAGTAATTGCTTGCAACCTCAATTTTGGGCCTGAATCTTCAGAGTCTTTAAAGAAAAGCAGTTCCTGAACTCTCTAGAGTAGGCACAGAGTGACTTGAGAAGACATCAGCTGTTGAGAGCATCACGTGGGTAATGGGGCAAACAGTACTTTGTGAGACTTGGCAAGCTCAGTTTTAACAGAATGACCACCACCCCCCACCCCTTTTTTTTTTTTTTTAAATCAGATTAGGGGTAACCCTTAGAAGTCAAGAAAGCAGCATGAAGTTGCCAACATCTCTAGTGTAAAACACATGAATTGCTTTGACTGTAGTCATTGAAATTAGAATGGTTTTTCCCCCTCATGAAATGAATTTCCCTAATGCTGTTAGCCTCCTTTTTTTTTTTTCCCCTCTTTCTTAGGGGCATCAAGTTATTGGACACAGCTGATGTTTCTTCACTCTGCTCAACTTTCATATATACAAGTAGTTAAATAGATGCCAGAATTATTCAGTGTGTGCGTTTGAGACACATTTGTTGTATCAAGTCACTTGGATATTTAAGAGTGTTTAAATGAGGCTAGCTTGCTTGCTAGCTCTGTAATTCAACACTTTCAAAAAAAAAAAAGTTAGCAGTCTTGTCTTTTAAATGAATTTTTTATAACTGCTAAATTACAGTCAGCACTTCATTTGCCAGCAGTCTGACATTACAACAAAAACAACAGGTTCCTTGCTGTCTGGTGAAGGTTTTTTGTGCTATGTTTCCTGATACCACTTAGACATCTAGGGATTTACAGTATTCCTCTGGTTACTGAAGTTGGCTGGGGCAGCAGGAGGCAAAATGGTTTTCCCTTCAGCCACTTGACCCCTTCCTTGAGAAGAGGCACACCTTTGGATACAGTGAGCATTTAAAATGAAAATTGAATTAAGTTAACCTTTCATTTGGAGAAACGAGTCTCTACTGCAGAGTTCTCTTGTGTTAGATAAAAAGAAATGGAATGTACAGCACTGATTAATAACAATAAATCAGATATTAAAAGGTCAGCTTTCAAGTGTCACATCTCATTAAGAATTTCCTTTTTTTTTGTGATAAAATAGAGATTTTTTTTTCCTGTCATCAAGGTTCTGCCAGATTTTTTTTTCAAGTTGAAATTTCTGTTTTTGGGTATGCATGCTGGAGTCAAGAAGATGAATTTACCTATTCTTTTATGCGTCATTGGCTAAAATAATCCAGAATTATTCTTTTTCTTTTGCACACAGCATACAGCGCTATGCCTATTGCTGCCTACAGTGCACATTAATTACTGGAATTCAATGTTTTCACCATTTTAGCTCATTTAAAAGACTTTCTTTAAGCAGTGAAGACAAGTGAGGCGCCATGTGCACAACAGGGAGACACTAATAAATGTTTATACATTTGCATCCTTTGTATCAACTGTTGGGTGATGGGTGAATTTTTACTTAAAGGCCTTTCTGTATGATACGTTGCCAGTACATGGTAGTCTTCACTGTGGCTGTTACCAGCTGCTCACTTATCTTTCAATTTTTGGTGCAAGTAATTTTTTTTTTAACTAGCTTCATGAGACAGTTTTAAGTAAGGCACTGATTTTAACAGTGTATACTCAAGGCTTAAAATTGTGTTTAGATGGATATATATTAGATTGTTTCCACAGGAACATGGAATCTTGCTTTCCCATGAGATGTGCTAGCCATGCAGATGTTGTCAGAATTCTAACTTGTGGAATTTTAGAAGCATAAAGTATGATGCTTACATCTACTCAGTCCTTGACCTTTCAGGTAAACTTGATGAGCAGCTAGTCAGACTTTTGATGTAGCTATGTATGACCCAAATGGTGGACTTAGGCTGACCCTGATTGGCCAGATGTGTCTTTGTGCCCAACTTTCACCTATTGTTTTGGATGTGAAAAGCTTCTGCATTGCTTTTCCAGTCTCAAAACCTCACATACCTATTGAAATGAGCCAAACAATGATGATTTTGATGATTGTTGTAGCCCATGAGTTGTACTGGCTGGCCTGGATTGGCTTTTTAATCGCAATATAGCGGTCTAGTGAGATGGCACAGAGGTGCATGATGGAAGCTGTGGAAAAGAGGACATCAAGGAACAGCCAAATGGGACACAAGGCAGTTGGAAAAGGCCAGGCGTTGTCTGGAAGAGAACAGAAAACTCATTAGAATCTTAGCTTTTTGAGAGTTTTTAGTATCTTTCTTTTCCTCATTTGGCATCAGTACCTGTGAGAAGTTCCTAACCCTATAGAAACTGAACATTGTCACCACAACATTCATTACATGTATTATAAGTCATTCCCTATCTTTCTTTCCACTTTAGATCATGAGCTCTTTGTAACAAGGACTCTGGATTAAAAGAGTAAAACAGATTTTTAAAAATGGGTCATGACTGCTTGGTGCAGCACCCTAATAATAAATGGGGGTTTTTTCAGCTTTGTCTCTCTGATAGTCCTCTGATCCAAGCACAGAGGAGAAAGCAGGCCATAACCAGAACATTAGTCAATCATTGCAGAACTATGCGTGCATCTTGAAGTTAGCAGTAATCTTGAAGAACAAACAAATGATATGTTATCCAGCATCATGACCATTATTAAGGTTTTGTGGTATTCAGTGTTGCAAAAGGTAGATATTTTGGGGGCTGGATCTCCTATTCTTTACACTCATAAACTGAAATAACTTCACTGAAACTGATTTCTTTCACAACTGCTTGATTTTTCACTCACAAGTTGTTTATATTATAATCCAGTGCAAGCAATATTCAAACTGAAATGCACCATAGTGTTGCTTGTGTGTAAGAATGTTCTGCAGTCCTGGAAATGACTTTGTGAGCACTGAAGTTTCTTCTACTTCTAGTTGTGTCAGTTGATCTGCTCAAATTGTCTCTCCAAATAAAATTAAACTGTGCTTGATCAGTAGTTTCATTAAAAGCATTGCCAGATAATTCAGTTCTTCATTGAATAATGATTAAGGAAAAAAAATTGTAACAAATCAAACTTTTTAAAAAATCTCCTTGCCCCAAACAAATAAATCTACGTGCTGAGAATGCCAAATGACCAAAAATATCGTAATGTTCAATCTTATCAGTGTGGTAATGGCACAACAGTTTGACATTAACATTTTTTCTCATAATATGTCCGTTAGATGGAAATGATATGGTACTGCTTTTGAAATATAAGCGCCAGAAGATGGAAAATTTTATGAAGTCAGACGTAGCGTGCACTTTTCTGCATTGCTGTGTATGTTTGGGAACCTTCCCTGTAGACATGAATGATCAAGTGAACTCCCTTTTTCCTCCCAGCAAAATCATCGTCCCCAGAGCAATGAACTCCAGGTGAGGATGGTGTAGGAAATAGGCAGTAAGGAAGAGAAGTGGGTCTAGTTTCAGACCACTAACCTGTAAATTTTATATGGCATCTAGTCATATGTATGGCTATGTATTTATTAAAATAGATATCTCCATTGAACATATACTTCAAAAAATTGCTGTTGCAGGTATGAGGAAGTGATAATTAGTGTGTTATGAAACAGCTACTGATGTCCTGTTTTTCTGTCTACACTTTCAACTGGCCTTTGAGCAACAACAAAAAAGGAAACATGAAAATGCCTTGTGGTTTGTTCAGCCAGAAAGCAAGCCAGAAAAAAAAAAAATACGGTTAAAAGAAATAATTTATTAGAAAATCATAGGAACATTTTCTGAGTTGGAAGAGGCCCATGAGGATCATCAAGTTCAGAGAAGTGGGACTACTGCTAAGTATGATGTAAATGATGCAGGGTTAGCTCAAATAAAACATGAACAATGAAAAGAGTATTCTGTGCATCTTGAAGGATGCACAGAGAACGCTGCTGGATTTCAAGCACCTCACGCTGCTGTTTAGAGTGCATACATGCTGATCCCTGGATTATAAGTGTTTTACTTGCTGTAGAACAGCAGTGTAAGTTATTTTCATTTGCAGCTTTCTTCTCTTTGCAGAAGAAATCCCTCAAATACTTCATTCAAAAGCTGCTTTTCTTTTTAATATAATGTATGAAAACAGCTTGCTGGTGCAGAACAACTTTGTGAGTTTTATGAGCTTTAGAGTTAGTTGGTAAGTGCAACTGGAAAGAAGGCTTTGTCCTTTAGTTTTTCTTTGGAACTGAATGCAGAAGGCAGTAAGTCACCTTGGGACTTCACATCAGGATTATAGAATTATGTTCTGTTTTCTGTGCGTATGTTTTTTTTTATCCAAACAAAATCAGGGTAGATTTTAAATGCAGTAGCTGAAAAGACTTGATGAGCTTGGTCATACTTGAACAAATACAGAGTGAAACTCTATCCATAAATCCTGAAGTATCAGCTGGCTCTCTAGGATTCGTACTGTGCACACATTTCCTTCTTGTTTGTACACGTGTTAGAAGCTTGGTGCCTAGCATGGGAGTGACTGCTGTTGGCTTGGTGATGTGTGGTGGTGCTGTGTGTCACAGTTTGCCTGTTGTGTTAGTTTGGGAGTAGGGAAAAAGCAGAATATGAATTTTACTTCAGGACCCAGAAAGCATCTCTGACCTCTGACAACAAGCAAGCAGTTGAGTTCCTGCTTTTTATAATTTAGATTGGAGGTAAATGGTCAAGTCCTGCCAAATGGCAGAGTGTGAGGGTCAGACTGTTAAAAGCTCTGATTCTCCTGTTATAGAAACACACTGATGGAGCAAACCAGAGCACTACGTGATTCACTGTGCTGAAATTCTCCACCTTTTTTTTCCTTGGGAGTTGAAATGCTGATATTAACCTAGTGGATTCGACTTCTTTTTTTTTTCCCTGAAAGCCTGGGTTAGCTGACAAGCCTGCCTGCCCGAAATCTTGTCTGCTTTCTCCAGCTCAGGTAGCATAAGGTAAAGATGCTTCCTTCAAACCTGGTCTCAGACTCTCCTCACTGTGATGCTGCTGCTGCAGATTTTCCTCATTTTTAGTTATTATGTGATAAAATATATGCTTTACAATTGTCGTGCACCTGGAAAGGTAAGATGAGCTTTTACCACAACTGTCTGTCCTTGAATGGAATATTTACTTACAGAAAGATTTATGTATAGGAAATACCTTGGAAATGTGTAATCCCTAAAACAGTGCATGTATACGCACGATTGAGAGAGGTCTTTAAATAGACTTGAAGGTAGTTTGTTCTCTTGCTACAAGGGCTGCTGAAATGTGCCGCGTGTAAAGGATTCTGTGATAGGAATCGTTGCTGGTAGATGATAATGCTTTTGCTGGGAAGGAAATTGATATTTTAATCATCAGCTGACTTAAAGCCCAGACTTGAATCTTCAAGCTGTGGTGTGTGGGTTCATCGCGGCAGCTCAGCTTTGTGGTCTCAGGAGGCACGGGCTCTCTGTGCTGCTGCTTTGCTCTCTCCCTCCTGAGCTGCTTGCTTATTTCTCCACTTCAATTGCACTTTCAGCAATACTTTGCTGCCGTGCAGTTCTTTGAATTTCACCTATGGAATCTGTATTTCTAGAGTTGCTTTGTGAGAAATGAATGCTAGTTTTTTTACTTACATTTAGATCTGAGATGTTGGACAGTAGTTATCAACGGAATAAATTTTCTCTTGTTTGCACAAGTGAGAAGGAGAGATTTTCCGTGGTTCGTAATCAGTAGTGGGGGAAGATTGGCTGTGATTGCTTCTGGTGAGTTACAAAAGTCATGGTTTGCAACCTGGGGGGATCAGCTCTGCCTTTTGATTTCTAAGTGGATGCATGTGAAGAATAAAGGAATAATTTAAAAGATGGCACTGTCTGCAAGTAAGCCACTGCTTATGAAGCGTGGACAACAGACCTTTTCCGCTTCAAATCTTGCAAGTCAGATGCTCCTTCTAAAGAGTTTGCTAATTTCACCATCTGATGAATAGCAGCATTTTTGTTTTGCTTCAGTAGTTCTGTGTTTACGAATGTGGGTAACTTTGGAAAGCTAGATTTCTGAGTGTGCAGTGATTTCCTAACGTGCCCACCTTTTTGTAGAAGAAATGAGGAGGATTTAGTAACCAATAAAAGCAATAAACTGTTTGTATTTTCTGACACTTGTGCTCTTAAATCAAAACTGTACTATTGTATGAATATACATTACATTTCTGTCACCCTACCTAAAAGAGGAAATCTGCTTTTCATGGTATTATACCTGTGGGTTGGTATTGGATTTTGATTTTTAAGGGCAGTTATTTAGTATTGCAACAGCCTATTTCTGAAGATTATTCTGTATCATCAGTGCATGAAGCCATTATCTGTAGTAGCTTTTGCATTTGAACACTGTGACACTAATTTGTCCGAAGCTGTTTAATGGGACTGCAATTTAGTTCACACCTATTTCCTCAAATATTCTCCATATAATTAGATATCAGTTCCGAATCAGAAGCATAATATTTGTATTCCGTAGCTGGAAACTGCACACAGCCATTGCATTATGACTGAAACATTCCTGCATGGAGGTGCCAGGAGGCTGGATGGCCTTCTGACTATCAGTGATTATTCTGTGTCCAAGTAGTTTGTTTGGGTAAGGTAGCTTTGCGATTTAGGCCTGCTATGTGCTGTTCTTGCTCGATCCCACAAACTCCTTATGTTTTGCTCATGCTTTGAGCTTCTACAAGCACTTCAGCATCTCCTTCCTCTTCATAAAGAGGGAAAGCAGTTTTTCCGCTTTGGAGCCAGAGGGAAACGTGAAAAATTTCAGTTTTAACTGCTGCTACATAGAAGACTGATTACAATCTCATTTAGTAAAGTTGGTTGTAATTAACTGTTTTCTTGTGTATTTCCTGCACCGTGAAAAATACTTTTGTTTGTAAAGATTCCTATGATGCTTCAAACTGTGTAACCAGGATTTATCAGATTAATTGGGAGAGATTAAGGAGCAATATTCTCTTCATAAAGTTTAAAAAAGAAGTTATTGATCTAGCGTAATTGAAAAGCAACACCCAAACCTTCACAAAGTCCATAACCTGCCTTCTCTCTTTATTGGTCGCTAGTCAATTACCAGTGCTTTTATAGTGATCTGTGCTCTTATAACAACCACTAATTTTATTATTTCTGTTATTAATGAGGTCTTTGGCAAGAACTAAGCAGTCACAGTGTCTGTGAATTAGCACTTGCGTGCAGAAGTTTCTCATCTCTATGCATACACTTGTTTTTCAAGGTAGAAATCCCTGTCCCAGTTATGTACTTTCCTCTTTGTAGAATCTGTTGCTTGAAATACATGTGTATTTTATGATATCTGAGTATCCTACCCTGATGCTCTGAATTCTAACCTCCAATTCATAGACTGCTAAGGAAGGTACGGACTGGAATGCACAGAAATTCCGTGTCATTTTAATGAATAGCCACATTTATTAGTAAGTGATTGCAGTTCCATGCAGCAAACAAAGCAACCGATGCGCTTTCTGAAATAAAGTTTGATTGTGTTTGTTTGTTGCTCAGGCAACTCCTACAGACCCAGCACAGGAAAAATGAACTCCTGCTGTCTTTCATTATCTGGGGTTCAGTGGTAGCTGTACCCTCAAGATGATTCCGTAAATCCTTAGTGTTTTTTTTTTAAAAACTATACCACATTGATTTTTCATTTGCAAAAAACTGAAATAGACTATTTTTAATTAAACATTCTTAAAGAATCTCAAGGAGTAAAAAAGCTGCTTTCCCATGGATCTGTTTCTGATTAGTTGTAAAAAGTAGTATTTGATATAAAGCTGGACATGAGAAAATATGAGAGTCATCCTTATTCTGTAATGACTAATCAGAAAGAAATTGTCACACCCTATATATGTTTATATAGACAAAAAATCTGTTTTATTTCATGTGAGCCAGATTAAATGGTGAATCTGAGTCTTGAAGATCAGGTACACAGATGGGGCTGCCCTGGACGTTACAGGCAGATATGGGACTTCTTTGGGATGCTTTACAGACCTTGCCATTTTTCCCAGAGCAGGAGAAAATCAGTTTCCCAGAAAACTGAGGCTGGTAAAGCTCATCATTGGTGCTTCCAGGAACCGTGTTTTTAAGAGATGACTCTCATTAGTGTAATATCCAATACAACAGATTTCGAGGCTGAGCTGAAGTTACTGGAAACAGTGATTCGCTGTACACAGCGTAATTTGCCATGTCTCCCTCTGAATAGTATCAGCTCTAAGCCTTAGGTGCTTTTTCAGTGGTTTGTTTCAAAAGAAAGACTATCCACTGAGGATATGCTTACCATAAAGGCATTAGATGGCATTATGGTTAAAGGAAGAAAAGATTTAGCCCTCATCCAAATAATATTCAAAATCTCGGTAGCGGAAAGCAAACAACTTTTCTGTTTAAATCAGACTTCCCAGAATTGTACCCTGTGTGCAAGCCTGATGAAACGAACGCGCCGTACTCACCAAACAGTATTATCAGAAGGGCAATCGGCATCACAAACAGTCCCACCAGCAAATCCGCCACCGCCAAGGATGTTAAAAAGTAGTTGGTGGCATATTGCAACTTCTTCTCCAGAGACACCGCCAGGATGACCAGGATGTTCCCACCGATGGTGGGGATGATCACCAGCAGGATCAGCAGTGCTGCCCAGCGCACTTTGTTTCCTTGCTCATCGTTTGGGTAGTTCTCTTTGGGTTCTGTTACCGAGAGAGGTGACAAAGATCCATTGGCAGCTCCAGACCCATTCAAGAAATGTAAAGGATGGGGCATCTTTGTGCCCAGCAGGATGTGTCCGAGAGCTGTGTTTTGTGCAGGAATTGCGTACGGTGCAAGAGTTCAGTGTGCCTCTCTGCTCCAGGATGGTCCTGAAGAAAGGCCAGCATGGTCAGTATGGTAAACTGGTCATCTGCTATTTTGAGGTACAGTAACCATGTCAGAGCTTGGATCCAATTTTTTTTTTATCCCGTGCCTTACTGGGTGTGTTGAGGTCTTAAAAACTCAAGTCCTGTCTTGTGTCCATCTCTGGCTGTTAGGGCTGAAGGTCTGACGTCCCCATATAGCGAGGTTCAGCTCTTAGAAGATTATACAAGAGAATTCAATAGCTGAGAATAGTAAGCAGTTCATTAGCTCCCATCTTTCACCGCTGTAGGAAAAAAAGAAAAAAGAAAAAGTGGTAGATAGATTTGGATGCCAGTTGTTTCCCTCTAGCTATAGCGTACGAAGGTTTGGTTTGCTGTTTGTAAGCACAAACTGGTGCAGACAGATGCTGGTGTGATGTGTGTGCAACTCCTCCTCTCCCCAGTGCCGACTCTCCGGCAGCGTGTGCGTAGGCAGGCAGCAGTTCCCATGTTTCCTCTTATTAAGAGTCCTATTTCTCCGGAGAGGATCACCCCAAAAATATCTTCAGAAACGATGTATGTGGTTTCTGTTTTATTCTCTACAGTCCCTACTTTATCAGGGGAGGGTCAGGAAGTTGCAGATAATAAAACACTGGTGACAATCCCAAGGGGACCATAAAGATTTATGGAACTGAGACCTCTACATTTACCCATTCCTTCAAGGGGGGGTGAGTAAACCTCCTTTTGTTTTTGTAATCTGAGCAGAGCTTCTATGAAGCACAGCCTTTTCTCTTCCTCTCCCCTCTCTCAGCTCAGCTGAAGACTTAACACTTACGTTTCCCCCTCTAAGCAGATGCTAAAAGAGTTCTGTCCTTAGCTGAACAGTTCCTGAGAGGACCTGATGTGCTCTAAGTCTCAGGTGAAGAAAGCCTTACCTTCTTCTCTTGTGTTTCAGTAAAGTTCACTTGTATCCAGGAAGATCCTCTGTGATTTGTTCTTCTTTTTCATCACCTGGTGGACTTTAAGATAAGGTTTTTCACTGTTTTCTAGAAAGCCGGTTGTTCATTTATTTGTGTCTCTTATTTTTCAAACATATGTCTCTTGTTGTGTGTTTGTTTAGCACTTAGCATTTCTTTTAACACCAAACGAAGAATTTCTCTTTGGGGAAAGCTGTCTTCCTTACCCAGGCACTTTCTCCAGTTCTTGAATGTAGGAAAAGAATCATCCTTGCTGCATTTAAAAAAGATTAAAAAAAAAAATGTCCTTTTCTTCCGTCCTTCCTCTTCTACTCTCTTGATGATTTTACTTATGTGATTAGCACGGTCTCAGTGCAGTTTTCTTTGTTCATTAGCAGAACTTGCAGTCTGCTGCTACCCATTGTTTGCTGACCGACTCATTCCAGTACATGCAGCTCCAGCGCTTGGAAGCAGGGAAATTAGTGAGTGGGGGCTTGGCTGGAAAAGAGCCAGCGAGCATTAATTGATTCAGCGCTCCAGCCCTATAACGTATGCCTCTTGTAGCTGTGTAAGGATCTGCAGATCCTGCTAACAGCCCTTCCTCCTACAATATCCTAACTGTACGCAGGGCAGCATGCGTGCATATGTGCGCGATCGCTCTTGCTGCCTCTCTCTGGTCAGAAGCACAGTTAACCCTGCAAAGTTCTGCTGCCACAGAAACGCTCTGATTAGCACGCTGTTTTAAGTGTGTGGGCTGTTACTTTAAATCTTTCTACTTGCAGCTGCTTCTTATTATTGTGAGTGTTCTTTTTTGATACCTTCCAATTTTCAGTCAAATATGTGTATCATCTCTAACTTTGCGTATTTCTTCATTAAAATGGAAATAGGTTTCAGTTCTGTGGACATTAGCTAGATAACTGAGTAATAGAGTCATTGAGTTTAAGACCAGAAAAGACTATGATCCAACCCTGGGACGTCACCAACCATTACACTCCTGAGCTGCTCGGTGCTCAGCAGTCTCAGCCTGGCATTTGGGTCCTTGGTGAACTGTGAATCAATTCATATTCATTTAAAAATAAGATAAGCTTCTTTGGAATATAGCTGCGTTAGAGCCAAAGTGAGAGAGTGTCTGCCAGACACGAATAGAAATATTTATCTGGTGATTTGGGTAGTATGCTAGAATATCCAGCAAAGTTGTCATCACTTGTTCTGTATTTTTACTGCTTAAAAAGAAACCTTTGTTAAAATTTCATATTGTCTTCATTTTCAATTGATTCTTGACGTCTTTACTTCCTAAGATATAACTTTCTGAAGAATAAAGATGAATCCAGCTATGGTAATTCTGTTTCCTCAGGATGGAGCTATTGGCAGTAGATACAGAATCGTGTATGCAGAAGGAATTCTGGATTAAAAGCACCGAGGTGCAATAAACGATAGGTACTTTAACTTCAGTTGTTCTACTTGTGGGTGTATGCCATGTGCTGCTCCTCGTGTCACATCTCCAAATTAGGAGAACAGAGTTAAAAGCTCTGGGGGTTAAAAACAGACAGTTTCTATCAGTAACTTCTGCTCATCATCAGCACCAGTTATTGCTATAAGACTGTGCTGGATGCCAAGTGTTATCTTTAAAGAGATGGGTTTTTTCTTCTCATATTTTATCTTTCACAGCACAGTAGACGGAGGGACTTCAGTGTGGGGGAAGTATCAAAGGTGCAGAAATATAGTTTTGTCCACTTGTTATAAATCTTAGGCAAGTAGGAGAAGGTTGCTGTGATAAAAAGTTATTTCTGTCAAAGGGAAAATCAGGTGTTCCAACTTCTCTGGAATACCTCATTGCATTTTATAATGTAATGTATATGATTAAAACATCTTTGCCGCCAAAAAAGGCTGAATTAAACAAATTAGGAGGGAGAGGCACTTTGATGTAGCACCACCCAAAGGCTGCACTGCTGCCTGCAGATGGGTGCAATGGGAGCTGCGTAAAAGCATCCACATGAAAAGGGAAGGGATTTTTCAGTATAGATTAAAATAGTGTTCTTAGGCCCTTCCAGAGGATGGTGATGAGACTTCAGCTGTATGTAGGCTTGTACAGAGGATATACAAGCATATAGCTTTGTGCGTTGTTTCATTTCAGATGGTTAAAAAGCTTACCTGTCTTTTATAATGGTTGTTAACTTCCTCAGGCTTTAATAA